TTTCTTGACCAAAGCATTATATATATTTTTAAAACTTTTTTGTTTGTTATTTTTTTCCAGTCCAAAACTGAAAATATGCAAAGGTAAAATATAAGAACAAAATGGCTCAGGTCAAACCGACTCTACTGTGACACCACTCAGGCCCTGAGTTATTCACCAGTGTGAATAAGGTTTGAGTTATTTTTCCATGAACTTTAAGGCCATGTTTTCTTCTGAGGCCTAAAGATCCTAACAGGCAGCAATATCTTGTTTGACAAGAACTGCTGGCAGTAAAATGCCTCGAAACAGTACCACAGTATTTTCGGTTTTTTCCCAGACCCATGCAAAGCCAGTTAAATGTTTCTATAAATGATATACCGTATCCTAATCCAACTAAGCACTTGAATTAATGATACAATGAAATGTATAATATTGCAGATTAAGTAATTATTAAATCCGTCCTGGTGTGAATAAGAATAAGTAACATTTGGTTTCCCCGTTTTTTAAACTAAACTGTTTCCTTGCAAACTCGATTATTTGGGGGTCCTTCGTCACTAAAAACTTCGACAACCATAAATTTAATTACAGCACTCAAGGCTACAACTCAAGGCTACAACGCTAAAACGGGTGTTTGTGATTAATATGTATAAACAACTTATAGTTACTGGTCATAAATACGTTTTTTTTTTGCGTATTTCAACATTTCAGTCTTCCACCGCTCCTAGTGTGTTTTCTTTTCTGTTTTAATTTTTGACTGAAATGGTTCCTGAGGCTATTTGTCCCGTTAAAATGCCTTAAATCGAAAAAAAGCACTGTCAGTAACATTTCCCGCGTCGAAAACGGATTTTCTTATGGAAAAAAACTTCCCTGTTTTCTTCTGAAAGCAAAATCATTCTTTCAGTCAAATATCCAGTTTAAGTGAAAAATGAACTGAATACATCAAGGGTTTATTATCGGTCCTATAAACAACGTTGAACCCGGTGTCATGCTTTGGTTTGAAACGTTCTAAACGAAAGGCGCCAATAAAGTGTCTCTATCCGAAGATATTATTGAATCAAGTGATTCATTTGAAACCGTTAACTCTCTTGTAAAATGGTAATGTCGGTGGTTTGGGTGGATTCAATGGTATACAGCTAAATCAAAAAAGGTTGCTTTGGTAATTGTTCATTGGTCATTAGACATTGGGCATTTAGGCATATGGAACAATTCAATTTTTACTTGAGTGACCACCAAACAATAGCTTCCCAATGCGCAATTCCCAATGCCCAAAGCAACCTTTAATGAATCAGCTAAATGTGCTACATACATGACTCGTATATCATTCAAGTCGGTAGTGTTTAGTTGTAACGCGCGAATTTCTTCAGTGGAGGTAAGGTAAATAATATAGGTCAGATGAGCTAGTTAATTCCAAACTATCTCAATATGTATTCTGCCAAAACTAACAACCTGGTCAAACAAGAGAAGTATTTCAAAGCTAAGGTTGCATTTTTGTCTGTTCGCTGTTAACCTCCTAACTTCTTAAATTCAAAGCATCGCTTTTAAAGAAAACTCAACTGCAGATGTCATTTGCAAAATAACTTTGTTCGAACGCAAAACATTTTGATCAAAGGAAACTAATGATTTTAAGAAAAAATAAAATATGGAATAAAAATGCTCTCGAAATTTGACCTCGTTAGAACTTCAGTTAAGAAGGTATCAAATAGAAATTTACCTTGAATTCTTAAAGGAACCAGATGACGATTAAATGCTACAAATTGGCGAACAATCATTGTCACTGGCGCACAGTGCAAAACAAAAGTAAAACCGCCTTTATGCTGTACGTTCTAACACTAGTACTATACTATGTTGGAAAGTAAGCCCCGTTGGTGCCTTCCCCTGCCTTCCGTATTCCGTCCCTTTCTTAGTATGTATAAGTGTCTTCCTGCATACTAATTTAGTGCCTTCCTGCATATTAATTATGTGTCTAGTCAGTGTCTAGCTAGCTATGTAAAAATGCGTTCCTCCATACTAGTTATGTGCCTTCCTCCATATATAATTAAGTGGATAGTCGTTTCTTTTCATATGGAAGAACTCAATAGAAACTATAGGCTCGCGTAGTCTTGCCTAGACTGGTAAGGAACTTGAGCCCGGTTTTCGGACCGTTTATTTGAAAAAAAATAGGAATAAGAGGAGCGATCACCTAGCAACGCGAGAAACGGCTTAAGTCTTCTATTTAGCGCTAAAAAGTCGGATATATATAAAAATACATACACAAAGAGGTGATGAAACTCTTTATTTCAATTTAGCTTTATGTCTTCTTATTTAGCGCTGAAACTCGGATATATAAACAAAACACACACACATACACAAAGTGGAGCTGAAAACTGCAAAAAGATTAGATTAAAGATTCTATTAAAATAGTCAAAAATGGCAAGCTATCGATTTTTTTTACACTGCGCACAATGTTTTACTCACCCCTCTCTCTTTCCATTTTTATTTTTCTCCTCTTCCACAATTTTATTATTTTCCCTCCTCAATTTTTTCTTCTTTTATTCCCTCCTCTACAGTTTTATTATTCCCCCCCCCATTCTTGAATTCCCTCCTTTTCCTCAATTTTGATCTTTACCCACCTCCTCCTCATTTTTGATTTCCCTCCTCCACAATTTTTATTATTTTCCCTTTACAATCTTGATTTTCCTTCTCCTCCACCTCCTCATTTATTCTATATGTTTTTCCATTCTCAAATACACGGACTTCATATCGACCCTACATCTACCCTAGACTCAACTTTTTTTCAACACTGCTTCGGGAATAGTGAAACGGCAGAGGGAAACAATAGAAATGTAATGGTGGTGGTGGTGGGAAAAAGAAATGTGGAGGTGGTTGTATATTGTTTTACTATTCACGAAGCAGTGTTGAAAAAAAGTCGATGGGGTCGATGTAGGGTCGATGCGAGGTCGATGTATTTGTGGATAGAAAAATATATAGAATAAAATGAGGAGGTGGAGGAGGAGGGAAATCAAGACTGAGGAGGGGAAATAATAAAACTTGTGGGGGAGGGAGATCATGAATGAGGAGGAGGCGGGAAAAGATCAAAATTGTGGAGGAGGGAATAAAAACGAAACTAATAAAATGGTGGAAGAGAAGAAAAATAAAAAGGGAAATGGAGAGGGGTAAGTAAAACATTGTGCGCAGTGTTAAAAAAACGATAGCTTGCCTTCTTTGACTATTTTAATAGAATATTTAATCTATTTTTTGCTATTATTTTAATAAAGGGTCATAAAATTGAGTTCTTGTGTCTTAAGAAACGTGTCTGGTTTTATTACGAGTATTTATTGATTAGTTGCGTGTTTTAATTGATCCTTGTTAAGTTATTAATTGTTTTCTTTTGTGTGTATTTCTAAAATAATACTACAGAGCTGAACGACTTTGTATTCAACGGTGGGCTTGTTAAGTCGCATAAATAACTGACTAACGGTGCGTGAAACGCTGAGACCTCAATAGTTAGTCGTTTCCTTGAGATAGAAAGGAGAAAAGGGTTTTTGTAATAGTCAAACAAACTTCAAGTAAAGAGTTTTCAGCTCCACTTTGTGCGTGTTTGTGTTTTGTTTATATATCCGAGTTTTAGCGCTAAATAAGAAGACATGAGACATGAGCTAAATTGAAATAAAGAGTTTTCATCACCACTTTGTGTATGATTTTGTTTATATATCCGATTTTTTAGCGCTTAATAGAAGACATAAGCCGTTTCTCGCGTTGCTAGGTGATCGCTCCTCTTATTCCTATTTTTTTAAATACAGGGTCCGAAAACTGGGCTCAAGTTAGTTACCGGGCAAGCTAGGGAAGCCTATTGTTCCTATTGTGTTCTTCCATATGAAAAGAAACGACTATCCACTTAATTATATATGGAGGAAGGCACATAATTAGTATGGAGGAACGCATTTTTACCCAGCTAGCTAGACAATGACTAGACATATAATTAATAAGCAAGAAGGCACTAAATTAGGATGCAGGAAGACACTTATACATACTAAGAAAGGGAAGGCATACGGAAGGCAGTGGAAGGCACCAACGAGGCTTAATTTCCAACATAGTATAGTGCTAGCACCATTGTGATACGTCTTTCAGGTGTATCGAGTGCTGTTCTGTGGTGCAAGACCACTTGATTGTGTAAGTCTCAAGCCTAAGCTACGCTACCTAATTTATTACTGAGTCTAAAATTAGTCTTGTCCTAAATCGTTTTATATTAGATTCCATAAATCCGTTAGTTTAGCATCGCATACCAATACGCATGTAGCTAGTTTCCTTTATGTTGTTTGCATTCGAAAACTTTGACAAGTTGTTAGTTACAACAGGTGGCTGTCAGTAAGAGCAAATACTGCTACTAATAAAACGCAGAAAATGAACCCACTCAAACGCATGATTTTAAAGTGTTATGCATGCTACGTTACTTTATACTATAAGTTAATGCTAGTTACTTTCTTATCTCTCTTAAGCGAAGGCAAATGGAGTGGAAATAATGACAATAATGACAATAATAATAATAATAATAATAATCTGTTCATTTTTCACGTCGACACAGGTTGCAATTAAATTACGTGTCACCCTACATCACCTGAACTTTCCTAAAACTGTTAATTTACTTAGAGTTTGGTGTCTTGTGTCCCCCTTGGCAGCTTGTGGATGCCTACTTGTGCTAGTGAAAGGAGGCCTTGAGCAACGCTTATCTCCGCGTTTGTAGTGTCTTCTTCTTCTTCGCTTTGCGAATCATGATCTTCCAGTTTGGTGTCTTGTGTCCCCCTTGGCGGCTTGTGGATGACTACTTCTGCGAGTGAAAGGAGGCCTTGAGCAACGCTTTTCTCCGCGTTTGTAGTGTCTTCTTCTTCTTCGCTTTCCGAATCATGATCTTCCAGTTTGGTGTCTTGTGTCCCCCTTGGCGGCTTGTGGATGACTACTTCTGTGAGTGAAAGGAGGCCTTGAGCAACGCTTTTCTCCGCGTTTGTAGTGTCTTCTTCTTCTTCGCTTTCCGAATCATGATCTTCCAGTTTGGTGTCTTGTGTCCCCCGTTGCAGCTTATGGATGCCTACTTGTGCTAGTGAAAGGAGGCCTTGAGCAACGCTGAATTTATTTGCAGTCTCTTCTTCTTCTTCTTTGCGTTCTACATCATAATCTTCAAGAGTTATCTCCACTGCCCCGCTTTCCTTTAAAGTATTAGCAATCGTTGGCATTTCGATTCCGCCACTTTGAAGTTGCTGTGTCAATATATTCCTCTCAGTTAATCCCACTATTTCTCCTTGTAAATCACTTAGGGGTAATAGCAAGGCCAGGCAGCATGAAAATGACCACTTTGGATTCTTGCGCCATTCTTTTACTTTGTGGTAAATGTACGCAACATATTGCACTAAAACAAATTATATATTCATTCAAATTAAAACGAGGCCATCATAGATTTAATTCAAGAGAGGATAAAGGGGACAGAGAAGGCATCCCCCATACACACCCTATTCCACAGGTAATTCGTCTCGACTTATTTTTAAGACCATAGATCCCAAGGGAGATTAGACAACAGCCAATCACATAGCACGAACGTGTTCCACGTGGATGACCCACGCTCAGAGCCACGCGTCCTTCACGAATTGACGGAGAAAAAAATGGCTGAAGACGCGGACAGTGATATTGCTATTTGTTTTGTCGACGAAAACGACTAAAGAGAGATTTCTGCTAAAGTTGTGCCAGCGAAACGGAAATTAAAAAAGAATCGCCCTTCCTCTCTTGTATAGAGCTAACAGTACAGCAGGGAAATCCTTAACACACTGAATATTCTCTCAGGATCATTTATAATTTACAGTTTGAAGAGAGCAGTTTCTGGTTTGATATTTATTCTTTTATTTGTCTTTTATTATTCAACAAAAATAACACTTGACGTCCTACTTGCTTTATTATACAAACGACCGGGTTTCAATAGACCGGCGAAATTTCTCATTTTATTAAAGCACTGAGGGTACGACAACTTCGAGTTAAACTGATTTCACGGGTTGTCAAAGAGAACAAAGAGTCCAGCGATTCCCTTTTCCCAGGCGAGCGCCGATTCATTTCACTTCAATATTCAGGAATGCTCTCGATCTCTTTACGCTTTCATTGCCTTTCGCCCGACATCTTTTGCACGGCGTTTAGTCATGCGAAACCTCCACGAAACATCCACGCAGCGCCCGAGGTAACTTTATTCCAATTCTAAAAATAACTCGAGACGAATTACCTATGGAACAGGGTGTGTATGGGGGATGCCTTCTCTGTCCTTTTTATCCTCTCTTGATTCAATTTATTTTCAAATACACTTTGCGCAGAGAGGAAGGACCTTGCTGTACTCGGACGAGCGTGGACTTTGGATCACAGTATTACCACCTTACTGTCTTTTCAGATTCCGAATTTGTCTGGAAAACAAGTAGTCAGTCTTACACTCAGTCGAAATAAAACGGGTTGTGCACATTACTTGGTATATTAATGGCAACTTCACCTTGAACTTTAACTTTCTTTAATAAAAATATTGATTACAAGAGGCTGGCACGCGAAATAGCCATTACTAATCAGGTGAACCAGTTAAAAGAAAAATAAAGTGAAAGGAAAGGAAAGGAAGGAAACTATTTTAAGTTACAATAAATAATATTTCTATCATAGTTTTATTATAATTACATTAAATCTACTAAGGAGAGACGAAAAAGGAATTGACGGACTGCGAAAAAAAAACAAATACTTTTGTACAGAAATCACTTAACTGTTACAATAAACAATATTTCTATCATAATTCTATTATAATTACATTAAATCTACTAAGGAGAGACGAAAAAGGAATTGACGGAGTGCGAAAAAAACAAATACTTTTGTACAGAATTCACTTAACTGTTAATCGAACTTTTTCAACTTTTAATTACGTCTCAATATAGTCATGTTCTCTTTTTAAGATGTCGCAAAGCAATCTGTGAAGCACTTTCGAAACTTTCTTTTTAGGAAGATCTCTAATATGACAAGGTATCTCATTCCAAAGTTTTACACCAAAACGAGACAAGGAGTTTTTGTGTATTTCCAGCTTTGAGCTTTTAACGTGAAAGTTACCTGAAGTAGATGACCTTGTATGGTATGAATGAATTGTTGAGGTTTTTTCAAATGAATTGAAGAGATTTGTTGGCGAATTGTTGCTGTTAATATCGTGCATTAGACTAGCCACAGTTTTATAATACATAAATGAAACTGGTAATATGTCAGCGTCGAATAAATAGAGGAATTGCGTGTTCACGTATATACGTAAAATACATCATGCGGAGCACTTTCTTCTGGAGAATTAGAATTTTATTGAGGGAAGTCTTGGATGCCTGACCCCAGGCAGCAATACCATAGTTTAGGTGAAGATGGATTAATGTTTGGTAAATATATAACAGTATATGACGAGGTATGGAGTGCGACGTTTTGAAATTAGTCCAATTGTTCTACTGATTTTTGCCGTATTTCCAAGTAAGGTTTTTATCAACCAACACAACAAGATATTTTATATAATTTTTGGACTCTAAAGTTACATTTCCATTTTTCTCGTTATCTAACATGTAGAGGCTCGGTTGGTAAGTGACTCTTTTGTGATAAGGGTGAAAGATTACAAAGTTACTTTTTGTAGTATTGAGAGTTAACTTATTGGATGTTAACCATTCGTGGAGGTTTCGTAATTCAATATTTACCATATTTTCTAAGGACTTTAAGTTTTTATCAGCATGAAGGATATTAGTATCATCTGCGAAGAGATAAAACTTAAGTTTATTCGAGCATTAATGTATGTCATTAACATACAATAAAAAACCAACGGGCCAAGGACAGATCCTTGGGGAATACCACAGCTTACGTTAGCTTTGTTTGAAATGTATGGTCCGATTTGGGTAGATTGCATACGATTATTCAAATACGAGGAGAACCAGTCTTTAATAATTCTACGAAAACCATAGTGATTAAGTTTGTCGAGCAAAACATTATGATCGACAGTATCAAAAGCTTTCTTGAGGTCTATGAAGACTCCACACGAGAAAAGACCTTGATTCATATTACTTTGTATTGCGTTTACAATCTCTAGTCGAGTGACCGTTACGGAAGCCATACTGGGAGGAATACAATAAATTATTTTCTCCCAAGCTTGCGAGCGGGCGGAATCCTCTAAATCCTGCGATGTGATTGGTTTCGAGAGTGGACGGTATTTTACGATCCTGCCCGCTAACCCGGGCGGAATCATTGGCAGCTTCATTCACAAGATTGTTTGTTGTTTGTGAATGAGCAAAAACCGTCATTTTCAAACCATTTTTCTTTCAAAACTTGCGCTATTATTAGAATTAGCTAGGGAAAAGTGAATTTTATTATTCAGACAGAAAATCTGAAGGGAGAATCAAGCAAGTCAGCCAGGAAAACAGCTAAAGTAAAGCAAAACAGGTGGCTCGTGATGTCGCTTCACTATCTTTATAACCGCGCTGTAAGTACCGCAATCTTGCTTTTATGCACCGTTTATTGGACATTTTTGCTCTTATATTTTTGTAGTTCTGTTTTCCATTTTCAATGATTGGTGTTAGCTTTCAATCTTATATAAACAACACGAATCACTTTTCCAGCAGTCGGTTATCGCCGTTATCATTTCCTTGTTTATCACTTGTTACTCAAATCGCCTTCTTTTATTCGAATTCAATTCAAAACCTTAAAACTGGTATGTGTAATTAGCTCTTTTGTACAGTTTTGATCCCGCTCAATTGATAATCTTAAAGCAATTTTTGAATTATTCGGCCGAAGATAACCCTTGCTGTATTTTTTTCACCCTGGGGCTTTTAATATCAAGCTCGTCAATTCTTTTATTCTTGTTTGACACTCAGATTATGAGTTGTCTAGCAAGACACAAAAACCTTTCCTTATTTCAAAAGAGAGCAGTAAGTGCCTTAAAATAAATTACCGAGCTAAAAGTCATGTTGTAATGTTTTGTTTTGGTTTGCAATCGACCGCGCGCTTCATCAACACAAACGCGTCCTACTTCAACACAAATAGGTTGGAGAGTGAAGGAAAATTTTCCAGAAACTTTCAAATCTCAGTAGGAAAAAAAAATTAAAGGTCGGTCCGTATTGGGAGAAACTGTGCCCTCGGTCTGAAATACTGCCCTCGGCCTACGGCCTCGGGCACAGTTTCTCCCAAAGAAAATGGACCTCCCAGCCGGTGAATAACATATATTTATGTTTGTCAATATAATCTTTCATTCTGTTGTACACGATCTTTTCAAAAATTCTGTTAAAGTTAGATAAGAATATAGGTCTGTAGTTTATTCGCATCATTATCTTCGCCACTCTTGAATATTGGAGTTATTTTGGACAATTTAAGTTTTGAAGGATATTTTCTTAATGTTACTGAGATATTCGATATTTCCGATTGAATAGGAGCTATGATACTACTTGCACACTTTAATAATTTTATGGGAGGTGAATACTCAACAATTATTCCTCGATCTCGAATGGGCTCTGAGTCAATATCCCATGAGGCCGAAGGCCGAATGGGCTATTGACTCAGAGGCGCGAGAGGAATAATTTTTTTAGTAAAATTCAACTAGTTGCTCAAAAATATCGATACAAAACAACTTTTAGCTGGTTAAAGCTAGACGTAAGTCCCTTTTTGCCGCCAAAAATCCGGCGCTCTTCGCTACTAGTAGGCTATAACATATAGCCTAGTAGTAGCTTATCCAATCAGAACGCAGCATTGATACAGACCACTAGTTGGATTTTACTAAAGACCATAAGACTTGTTGTTTGGTATGGAGAGTATTTGAAATTTCACTTCGTCGGACGTTACCGGTAAGGATAGAAAGATGAAGTCGGTGCTTTGCAATGACTAGCGTAATTAAGATGTTGTTGTGGCGTTGGAATTGTGCTAGCTAGCCTATTTCCCACAAAAGAGAAATGGTCATTAAGAATATTAGCAGAAAAAAATGGTTGAGACTAAGAAGTTTAGCCGTTCCGAGGAGCAGGGATGTCATGAAATAACAAAAATCTTGACGTTTGACCAAAATAGATCGTGATCAGCAAAATCATGCAGAAACTGTACATGTGCAAGGCCTTGTGATGCTGATCAAACAAAGTAAGAAAATAATGGCCCTATAGCTCACTATTTTTTCCTTGAGGTCGAGAGCTTACCGTTACGAGGGGTGGGCGTCGCGTCCCCCACCCCCTAAATATAGTTTGACTCCTCCCTTTAGCTACGCTAGGCTCGGTACATTTGAAAGCAAGCTATGGCCGCCCATAAACTATTCGTTCTCGACGATCTTACGGAAAATAAGGTGAACTTACAACCCTGCAATCGAAGACCTATCTTCAAAATGCAAAGTAAAGCGCAAAAGCAGCAAATTAAATCAAACTAGATGGTGATCAGTCAGGTGAAGTGATATTCTCGATATTTTAATGTTCATTGTAGTTGATGTGTATAATTTACGTTGTAAAGTTAGTAACGACCTTGATGGTGCTAACCATGAGATAGAAATCTATACAGTTGGTCACTTTGAAGAGCCATCCGAGTTAAGCATTTTAGTATAGAGGCAAGCTGTTTTGTTAAACCAAAACATCGAGACCTCTGCTTAGCTGTTCTTTATCTATTTCAACCAGTAAATTATGTAAAAAAATGTAGTTTTATCTGCTTATAAGGAAAACTCAAAAGTAAAATCACTCTTGTCGAAATCCAGGCTTTTTAGTGACTACTTTGAAAAAAAAACATGATTGAGTTTAATATGAGCAAATGACAGATGCTGAGAGTAATTTTCAACAGTGTTGATTTTGCTTGGAATTTCATAGTTCGCAAATGTTTTTGCTTGCTGAACATCCCTTTATACTCAGATCAGGAATTCTGTGAAGAATACGTCAATTTGTCTGTCTTTAAAAGCGTTAAGATGTGGTCCCTTTCAGAGTTAACTACACCATTCCGACGCTCTTGAAGAGTAAATCAGCGAGAGAAAAATATGTCATTGTTCTTCTAAGTGAGGGAGCCTTTGAAAATAGGCGCACATATTCACAGATGTGACTAAAAATGTAGCTCGAATAACTCCATGCAAAGCAGATGCAGGGTGCTCTCGGTCATCATTCAGGTTGGACTGGAGTCTCAACTCTCAACCTCAAGACACTTTGTACATCGACAGCTTCGTGCCTCGTGGGATCACTCATAGTTATTTATCATATTGAAGCGGCTGCATGTTGTTATAAAAAAATAGATCCTCTCTATGAATGCAACACTGATTTTGCTAGATTGTTGGCAGACACTCTCACTAGAAACAATTTTGTATACTTGAATGTATTTTATTATTTACACAGGATCATTTTTTATTAAGCACACAAAAACCTTTTTTTCCTTAATAGTTAGGAACTAGTAATAACCAAAGGTTAGGGAGTGCAGGAGACAACGATCGGAGGTCCAAACGCTTTTGCTTCAATGCTGTGCTTTGCGTAAGTTTCACGTGACAGATGGTCAAAACACGCGTGATCAGATTACGAGGGGTAGAAGGTCGAAACGCACGTGATCAAATTGCGTTTTGTGCATTCCATTCGTTCTTAGCGGACGTCCAAACGAATGCTGGCTACTTACAAGCGGCTCATACGTAATAACAACCTGGAGACTAGGATTGCGGGCTCCTCTTGTCGCCCGCAAAAACATTTATTACGCTCAGTTTCAGCATGAACGGTGAACAAGAACAAGTGACAATGTTTGGATAATTTAAACTTAGGCATCATTTTGCTTTTAAAAACCTGCCTTGTTTTCTATTTTTCTGTCCAATAAAAAGTTTAGACTTAAACATGCAGTTAACCAGTTAATTAGTTGCTTTATTAATGAATTTCTATGGATTCCCATACAAACCGCATGGAATTCTATGGAACTCAAAGGACACTCCATTGATATTCCATGGAATTCCATGGAGATTCATGGAGAACCCCATGGAGATCCACGGAACTTCATAGAGTTGCACGGAATTCCATGGAATTTCATGGAGGTATTTAGCACGGGTTAAGCCTGTAACATGTAGCAGGATGTTTTGATAGACAAATACTTTGTATTATCCTTACTTACCGACAAGTAGTCCAATGACCAAGGAGTTGGCAACAATGACCAAGCCATTGAACAACAAGTTATCCAAGATTGGGTCGACTGATGACGAAAAACCATCATCCGCGATTCTGCTGACGGCTCCTATTACAAGGTTTACGAAGGTAACGGCAAGTGAAGAAAGCATAAGCTCGTTTTCGAATGGATCAGTTATTGGCGAGTTCAGCGCGAAATACATCCCATACAAACCAGAGAAAACCAAAGCCAATCCAATGTAAAGTCTGCTTTCACCACCCACATGGATCAATCCAGAGGTCAAAATTACCTTTCGAACTGTCTCCACCAGTTCCCAATACCAACAATGAGGCTTGTAGTTTTCGTGTAAGAAACGAAGTCCGGTTTGCACGGTGCTTTGATCTCCGGGACCATTCGTGTCGTTTGTTTCATTTTTCTTTTCACCTCTCTGTCGTTTCCAAATTGCTATAAAAGCAGCACCAGGCAGGGCAATCACATACACAATGGAACAGTATCCTGCGAAGACTAATCGGCTGTATCTCTCCCCATTACAGTTAATGCTGTAATCGGCCTTTAAATACTCCTCGCAGCTTTCACCTTTTTTGTTAACGCAGATCTTGTGGCAGGCAAGAGGCAAAACTTGAGCTGTTTTTACGCAAGTGTTCAGATAGGTCACGAAAAGAAAGAAAAACAGATTTCTCATTACGACCGCTTTAATATGCTCCTTTTTCTTCATTCTTCCCTCTTCATTCAGAATATGTCGTGTCGATGTCCAAGTGGCAAGGGCAAGGCTAACAAGGGCGACGATGACTGCTGCAATGTTCAATCCCATAGCTGCAAACAAACTTCCGAATGCATCAAGTTCCAAGCTTGGAAGGACGCAGTGGAGGGGAGCTATCTGAAGAATGTTCCCCTGGGCAATTTCGGAATATTCTCCAATAAAAGAAAGACTTCTAGGCCATTTTATGTATGAAAAGGCCTTCATGATACCAGACGTCACCTGATAAAAGCCAATTATAACTTTAAGTTTTCCCAGGACCTCATCAAGGAAAGATCGTCCACTATCGTTTTTGCTCTTTTTCTTGCTTCTCCAAACCACCAGAATAACCAGTAAAATAATTATTGCCCCCATAATTGCAAGCTGTCCGATCATCCATCCTTTAGTTGGGCACAGTTTGCATTTCTTCAGCTGTTTATAATATCCATCACTGCAAACTGCACATAATGGTCCTTCATAACCAGCCTCACATGAAGAATTCAAACCTCCCTTACAAGCTTCTGTCATGGGGCATCTGTACGGTTGAGGAATGGTGTACGGGTATTCAATACCGGAATCATTCGCGTTGTGTAATTCAGGAGTAAATGAGGAGTCCTTTACGGTTTTGGTGAAGTTTCTGTACAGCTCACGGTGTGTCTTACTTTCCCATTTCCACCAAAAGCCATCTTTAAGATTTACTGACTCATCTTGACATTCTAATCCTAGCTCGCATGGCTTACAAGCCCCAAACAAATTCGTACGGTAATGATCTTTCAAACAATTGCAGGCGCGAAATCCTGCAAATGCAGTTGTGTCAGTTCCTGTCAAACAAAAAAAAAATAAAACAAAATTGTTGAAAACGAATTGTCATAATCTGTGAGAGATACTTGCATAAATTAATGAGGTTAAGTTTCTCGAAGATAGCGCTTTTCAATAACACGCGAACGCAGAAATTTAAGAACCGTTCTCAGTAAATATCGAGAATCCGGCCCCAGATCAATAAATTCGATTTTTTTTTATCTCACCAAAAAAAACCCTTTTGGTAAACTATTTTAAAAACAATATTCAAAAGATCCAGCGAAGCTCCGTTTTTGCGAAAAACAGGAATGTTTAAAATGGGCCGAAACCTGCTCGAAGGCTCGAAGGAAATTATGCAAATTAGGGCAGTTTCAAAACGCTCGTACGAGAAAACGATACCTAATCTATAGTTCATCTTTACGAAGTTTGTTGCATATTTCTTAAAGTTACTTTCGAGTTATACTTTATCTTGATCTATTTTTTACACCCGTTCAAAGAAAGTAATGTTTGTTGCTTTGTTGACACAGTGAATTTTATTATATTTAAGAATGTTATAGCATCAAGGGTATATATATTTAGCAGGTGTAAAAGGGTCCTTTTGAAAGAACCATTCTTCCTGTATGTCATACTAAAAGCCTTTTTTGGCCCGCCAAAAGCGGGAGCGCTAGACGAAAACCGGTATACGTGTCATTTGACGGGTTTCTCCAGTTTACCTCCTTTTGCTCACGGTTGTCTTACTCGGTTGATTGACACTTTTTCCACCCAGGAAAACTTAGTGTTTGGTTTCTATTGCGACATATTATTTGAATTCAGACTGCAGCAGCCCTTGACAAGAAAATAAGTTTGACTAAACTTTCTGAGACAAACTTTGGAAAGTTAATTTACTCGTAATCTCTGTTATCACCAATTGTAAACAAAGTACGCATGTTTTCAACGGGTCTGTTGGGCCGACCATTTCTGAGGCGGCGAAGGGGTGGTGGGGTGAGGGGCTGGGTGATTTTGAAAATATAAATACACTGTTTATACTGGAAGTGCACATAGGTAAGAAAAGAATCCTGCATAAGTCCACTGTCCAAAAAGATTTCACGCTCCTACAGTGGGCTGAAAAATAAAACTGCCCGAGATACTCCCTGGGTTGACAGCATGAACCTTATTTCCCAACAGTTATCATAAAAAAGATTTTGTACTTGCACTTGTGTCTGGCAGGAGCCCATTACTAATCGGCTCCTTGTACTGGGTAAGAGGGATTCATAGCATAAGGATCTTTCCCTCTCAAATGGCTTTTTCTTTATATTTACAGCACCTGTGGTAACCAATCTTGGTCAGAGACCACGAAGCCTTGGGGCTGAATGGGCTATATCCTCACCAATAATTATAATTCCATCGATCTTTTGCCTATTTTATAAGTCTTTTAATCTTTATGTTAAAAGCAAACACAATTTCCTTTGTTACATGTACGTTTTTGTGCAGAAAACCAGCGGATTGGTGATAAAAATTGGACAAAATCAATCTCAGAATTGGTAGAAGTTAACCCGGTGATTCTAACTTTTACCATTTTCCGTGTAAGCATGCTCCCGAGCACCTCTAGATAAAATTTCGCTTATATTCGCCTTCGTATTATCAAGGTCAATCAAAAACTCTAAGTTAAAAGTTCAAAGCTTATTTACGTATTCTTTAGACTGATTCATAAAGGAAAGCCTGCTTTATCAACCCAATCCACAAAAATCATGTAAAGTGCTGGAGGGAGAAAAAATATATGATTCGAGCACATACTTCAGTATAATACAATATAATAAAAAAAATCATGCTTACGCCAAATCACCCAATCACCCAGCCCCCTCCTCTCAGAAGTAAAATGGTTAGTCCCTAATATTTCGGTATTTCCGGTTACCGTAGGTCATGTATCTACTAAGATCCTGAACACCCCGAAATACCTTTGAAAAAAGTCAAATGAACCACACAAAACGAAAAAAATTTAGCAAATTGGGGTTACTACGTTTCCGTATGTCTCCAGGGGCACCCAATAGATCTGTTCCTCGAAATATCTGTTCTTCTGGCAACTTTTTGCTGGCTGGAAGATTTGGAAAAATTTATATGTCTTTCCAAGGAAAGTGTTGCTGGGAAATGGACAATTCAAGGTGTCGTAGTAGATTTGGCGTCCAGAATAACTGGCATGTGCCTTTTGTCAGAAACATACCCCCATCTCCACACTGAATAGTTGAATTTCGCCTTTAGGCCACACCCATTCCTACCCACCCCCTCCCCCAATACTGAAGGGTTGAATTTTGCCGTATGATCATCACACCCAAACTAACGTACTTCCCAGTAACTCAGGTTGCAGGTTGTAGATGCACCTTGCTCGCTGGGAACTCTTTCATTAGTCTTGCCGGGAGTGGGGAACAGATAAATCTTTGCCAGCAATCTCCCAAAATACTTAAAACGGCTTCAGAAAGCTTTATTCATGCTTTGGTGTTTCTCAAAATTTCTCGTTGTGTGCCCCTGTGTCTTTCTTCTGTTCAATTTACCTGTGTATTTACAGGTTTTCCAGGGCCGTGTTCTGGTGTTTTGGAACATACCGACCACAACCTAGTATAACTGCAGCCTATTGTCACAAGGGCTCATGCTACGGACAGGAGAGAGAGAGGGGGAGAGGGAGAGGGAGAGAGGGAGAGAGAGAGAGAGAGAGAGAGGGAGAGAGAGAGAGAGAGAGAGAGAGAGAGAGAGAGAGAGAGAGAGAGAGAGAGAGAGAGAGAGAGAGAGAGAGAGAGAGAGAGAGAGAGAGAGCTAGATCTATCGGCACATTTGTAACCTTAAGGTGGCACCTTTGTATCCTTTTTGGCACTTTTGCAACCATGTGGCACTTATGTATCCTGGCACTTATGTAACCTATGGCACATGTGTAACTTTGTGGCACAATTGACACCTTGATGGCACATCTGTAACCTTATGACATGTGACATCTGGCCTCTAGGGCCTGGGTTCTACCTAATCATCCAAAATGGCTGCACGAGGACAAATCTCGGATCCCTGTGAGTATTTACGCGTTTTTAAATTATTCTTTACGCATACCTCATTAAGTAAGAAGTCTTTTAACACCCTTATAGCTTTAATGTTACATTAGCTTAACTTTAGTCGCAGGATTGTGTGCAAAGTATTCTTAACTCGGATAATTGAACAAGGCACGTGCTCTGCGGGGCTATTTTCACGAAGTTACACAGGACGGAATTTCAAGAATCCGTAAATGGAAACTTAACGTAAACACGTAAAACCGTTGCGGAAACATGACGGTAATCACGTGTTTCCGTTAGCGGATACATTACGTTTACCCGTGTTTCCGTCGCTGCGGTTCCGGCGGAATCGTACCACTTTTTTCTACGTTTCCGTCAAATTTCCGTCTAAGCAAACACGTGTTTCCGCAAGAGTAAATGCGTGGCATCCTTGCGGAAACACGCTTTATTGCAATTTGGGTCCATTCTGTGCTTTATAAGTCATAAATTAGTGCCTTTACTCAAACACAAGATGCTCCTTCGAAGTTATGAAGCAGAAAGCAAACACATGTTAGTACGGAGCATTTACCATAATAATGTTTTGATGATTTTTGCAAGCATAGCTTAAAACTTTAAAAACTTGTTCCAGTTCTTGAATCCATGTCCTAGACTGCTTGCAGTCCGCCTTTTCTCTTAAAATCCGTCCAGTTCTTATCCCAGCCAGCAACAGACAACAGGAAACAGTTTCAAAGCCTAAACATGTATAGTCTAACTCTTAAATAACAGAACTGGAGCTCAATTCATGCGAAGGCACGTTTTAGCAAATAGCGTGACATGGCCCTTTTAGGGACCTGTCAATATTTATGTAGAAGCGGGGGGGGGGGGTCAAAGCTATTTTAGATTGGCTAGGGGGGGTGGGCTAAACGTTTTTATAAAGGAGTTTAGTGGGGTCAGCAGTTTGATCGTGAGGTATATTTTAAGAGGGGTCCATTGGCCAAGATGGGTAAAGCAGTTAAATAGTAGAGCACAAAAAATATATGATCAATTGTACAAATTTTTGCCAATCATGCTTTTTGTTAATTTCAATCATCACAATTTTGTACAACTTATTCATTTGTATTCGACAGAAATTCTGTTTGCACTCTAAACTTCATTGTTATTTCAATTTTTAGCTAATAGAGATTCCAGACCTATTTGCTTTAATATTTGGTTTGGCTGAATTTTCTTTTAACAAAATGCTTGTCACTTCAATATCCCAAGAAAAACATGATGAAACAACAAGAAAGAAGTCCTCTCACAACTGCAGGAAAATCATTTGAAAAGAATTATATTTTGCGTGGTTATTACATTTGTGTTCACCATGAAGGTTCGATTTGTAAAAATCTATCACTTTTCCTATATTTATACCCTGATTTTGTAATAGAGCAGGTTAGCTTCATTCTTATGCAAAGTAACTAATCATCTTACGATTAGTATGTTTATTTACCAATTAAGTCTTCACTCTTAAGAGAGTATTGTTACATGCATTTTAATAATTACTTTGGTGGTGGGGGGGTCATCACGTAAATGTTGAATAAAGAAGGGGGGTCACTTGCTGTTTACATGGTCTGCAGGTGGGGGGGCTTACAGAAATTTTGATCTTTCCAACATTTTTCCCTCCCCCCCCCCTCCCCTACATAAATAATGACATAAATAATGACCGCTCCCTTAATAAAAAATGCATATGTTGAGTTTCCCAGTGACTAGATACCCAGCAGCCGGGAAATGTTTTCAAAATACTAGATATCCAATTGCAACAGTGTGAAATACACATCCCATTTTCACATTATGTACCTTTTAATTCTTCTAAGAAGATATATTTGTTTAGAAGTCACAAGCAATTTCGCACATTTGTCTTGGGTTTGGAGGAGGTGGAATTTTCAAGCTTAGGCATACAATGAATCTCAATGTTTTTGACACTATATTATATGTTTTGTGGCACTATTATGCTGTTTTGTGGCACTATTATGAGGTAATCAACTAAATAATTAGTAATTATTACAGACGTAAAGACTGGTATTTTTTCAATGTCTAAGGACAATTTATCAGCTGAAAACAGAAGTATACGTAGTTTACATTAACATGACAATTTTTGTTGATCACATCCAGTTTAAAAAATGGATTATCGTGGTTTTGAAGCAAGACTGAAAGATTTGAGAGTAGCAGAAATGGCTGCACTGCGTCGGGGTGATATGGCAGCAGCCAAAAGGGTGAGTCTGGTGTACATATTATAAATTTTTATTCTACCCAGTAATTTTTCTTTCATACTATTTTGACAGATAAAATTATGATAACTTTCATTATGTGTACAGCAGAAGAGGGAGAGCGGGAGAGGAAATTTTTCATTTTTTTTTTTCATACCCCCTACTCCTCACACAGCATTTCTTGACACGTACATACCCCCTCTATACCTAAAGAAAAAAAATACAGCCCAGTACTTGATTAGGAAATAAATTGGTAATGCAACCACTAATAATATTATTGTGTAGAGATGCATAACCCATACCCAGTAATTTTTCTTTCATACTATTTACACAGATAAAATCTGATAAATTGCATTATGTGTACAGCGGAAGAGGGAGAGCGGGAGAGGAAATTTTTCTCTTTTTTTAATTTTTTTATACCCCCCACTCCTCACACAGCATTTCTTGACACGTACATACCCCCTCTATACCTAAAGAAAAAAAATACAGCCCAGTACTTGATTAGGAAATAAACTGGTAATGCAACCACTAATTGTGTAGAGATGCATAACACAGAACAAACGTATTTGAGAATACCAGTGCCCATAACACAAACGGCCTCTATATATTTTCTGGGCTGATTATCTTTATGATATCAGACTTCAAGGTTGTTTGATTAGAGAGCAAAATCAACTTGTGCAACTGGTACAGTTAAGGAAGTGACCATAAATCCAGCCGTTGGGGGGAGGGGGGGGGGAGGAAGAGGAGAGTGACCATGAATCCAGTGGAACCTATATGGGGAGGTTCCGCTTGAGACAGGTACTTATTTTCAGGCTTCAAGCATTTGAAAGGGTATGGGTTTCACCATAGCTTTATCCTCTCTTGGTTTCACTAGTTGAAGTATATGAAGGGGTAGGCAAATCGGTCATTTCGGTCTGTAAAATGACCTAAGAGGACTACCAGGTTCCTTTCATGGCTGTCAAAAAGACATTTAAACTTTCTGGTTTAATGATTTATTCGTTATATAAAAGACCATGTATTTACATGGCGGCAGACTCCGTTTAGGATTTTGCGCAATCTAAAGAGACTCTTTATAATTATTAACTGCTTTCTGTTTGTTCCTACATTTATATGCTTGTTGTTGTTTTTTTATTTATTTATTTTTTTATTATTACAAGCCATTCAATACAAAAAGGGGGTATATACAGAAACTTAAATGTAACACGGGTGAAATAAATGTACTAAAAGGTCATCTCTCTTTTAATTGCTCTGTAACAGAATATATAGAAAAACTTTAAGTTGACTCCTCCTTATAAGTGCTTATAGGTATAGACACTTCCGTTTTAAGAAGAACAATATGTCACGACTGAGGTATTAGATTTTAACTTGCTTTCACTCTGTTTTTAGCGCAGGGAAAAACAGTTTACCTTAAGACATAAGTGGACAGCGCTTCAAGCCGATTTCGTTAGCCACCTTCAAAACGAAGACGAAGAGTCTGGTGGACTAGGCGAGGAAGAAGATTACAGTGAAATGGACGAGACTGGTGGAAGTGGTAGTAACAGCAGCAAGAGCTTGCCTGAAAAAGAGAAAGGTGATGCGAATGAAGCATTTACCGGCAAAAAGGTTAAGAACGAAGGAAAGCGTGAAAAGCCAGAGCCGTGCCCAGTACCAAATTGTAACGACGAAGAGTTTGGTGAACTAGGCGAGGAAGAAGATTACAGTGATACGGACGAGTCTTCTGAAACTGGTTCTGACGGCAACAAGAGCTGGCCTGTAAAAGAGGAAAGTGATGCAAATGAAGAATGTAACGAAAAAAACGTTAAGAACGAAGGAAAGCGTGAGAAGCCAGAGCCGTGCCCAGTACCAAATTGCAACGCCAATGTTGTTCACCTCCCAAAGCACCTCCGCAACGTCCACAAGTGGCATGCAGAATATGCTAGAACGACACTATCAAGATTCAAGCTCCGCAAGAAGTATGAATTTGCCAGTCAAGAAGCAGCTTCTGCTGGAAATCGTAGCCGTAAAAAAAGTGAGGAAAAGAAAACCAAGCCGAAGCCCAATCGAAAGAGAAAAATATGTCCTTTACCTGGGTGTATGGTAATTACAGAGAGATTGCCTCAACACCTTCAAAGAACACATAAACTAAAAAGAGAAGATCCGAAGTATAAAAGGTATCTTTCCCTCGCAAAGGTTGTTTCTACGGACAAACCTCATGTTTTTATGCGTATGAAAGAAGAAATGGGGCGGATGCAAAGGCTCACTCCAGAGTTCGTAGTGAGAGGTGAAGAGCTCGAAGATACTTGCGACAATTCAGAAGACGGGTTCCTCTTTAATGTCCAAAGTTATGACTGTGATGAGAAACAAGACGTTGTTGACTTATCGCCACCAGAAAACGAGTTGGCAGAGATGACAGAGAGCACAGATATGGCAAGATCCGTAGCCAGAAACAACTCAGAGACTGAAACCAAAGTCCTGAACCAATTTTGTAACTGGATGTTGTCTCCTGATGGGGAACAAAAGGACCAAAAAACCGCAACGCAGCATGTCGCTCAAGTGAAAAGAATTATCTCAACATTGGGTAAGGGACTTGAATGTTTACTCGACAAGAAAGAGATCAGAGATGTTTTTCTACCCAATGCAAAGGAAAAATACCATCCTGCTACTATTAAGTCGTATTTGACTAGTCTTCAACACTTCTGTTCCTTTTTATTGGAAGACAACCCAAGTGACGTCAACTTTGAGAAAGATAACATCATTATCCTGCGTGACAAGCTAAAGAAATGGTCAGCGTCGTACAAACGGGATACCACAAAACGTAGATGGGAGAGACAGGAGGAGGATGTGAGTGCCTTGATAACTCCAGAAACGGTGAAGGCATTCGAGACGAGCCAGGCTACACGAGATGCCGTTGTTATTCTAGGAAAACTGTCTGGAAAACACAATATGGAAATTACACAGGCTAGGTACACACTTGTTAGAGACTACCTCATAGCTCAGATTATGATCGACAATGCAAACAGGTCAGGGGTAGTTGCTTCTATGACTGTGCAGGAATTTCGGCGTGCTAAGATGGAAGATGACCGATATGTTGTGAAAGTTCTTGAGCATAAAACAGTAGATACTCACGGCCCCGCTCAAGTAGTCCTGACGGTGCATTTATACAACTGCCTTGATATTTTTCTGAAGGAAATGCGCTCCAAGCTTCCTGGTGCGCAAATGGAAGGAAAGCAGCCATTGTTCCTTTCATGGGCGGGGAACAAATTACAGTCAAGCCAGATCACCTCTGCGATTGGATCTATATTTAAGAAAGCTGGAGTGGAGGGTCGAGTACACCATACATTGTATCGCAAAAGCGCCGTTACGCGATGTCATGATAAGCACAAAGAAATCAGTAGCAACTTGGCGGATCTAATGGCACATCGTGAATCAACTGCTGAGAAGTACTACAGGCACACTGAGAAGACGAAGTCTTCCGTGAAGGCCTCCCAAAGGCTTCATGCGACTATGAGAGGATATTCTCCTACAAAAAAAGAAAACGAAACGGTTGAGAAATGTCGTGAAGATATTCAAGAGGAGAGTGCACCCCTATCTCGGTCTCCATGGAAGGAGAATTCACTCCAAGCTTTGCGAGAAATATTTGAAGAAGAAATATCTACACAGGAAATTACTTTAGCCTGCGTACGAGAAAAAATTGAGAGCCATCCAGTGCTAGGCCAGGAAGACCCGAAGAGAGTGTACGATAGGATTCGTGCAGAATGGCGTTATAAAGCCAACATTGATGATAACAGCAATGAAGACGACGCAAAGTTGCCAGAAGAGAAGGAAGATATGCAAGAACGAGTAAATAGATTGTTTAACCAATCAGAGGAGGAACTTCCTGAGAGAAGGAGTCTTTCATCAGACTTCGTTTCTGTGACCGAGTCTACTGTCCGCTCGAAGGGAATATTTACCACTGGAGATGCCAAAGCTTTGGTGGATATATTTCAAGATATGGTAGTCCATGGAAAGCCAATTTCGAAACCTGTCATCATTAAACGACTATCTTCACATGAGACATTTAAAAGATTACATGTAGATCAAGTTGTCAACAGGTTGAAATATGAACGGAAGCAATGGAGGAAACTACACCCGTCTGAATAAACTGAAACTTTCCTTAGAACCCTGGAGTCAAATAGTGTTCAAGAACGGGAACCAGTTTAAAATAACTTTTGGCGTTTTGTGAAAATCATGTTTATCGTTCCAGTTTTCTAGGAGTTACAGTTGCCTGATTAAGAGCTGAAACTTTTGCTAGCACTCCTTAGGTTAAATAATGTTCAAGCATTCAAAGTAAGTTGTGATGCATTTGGGTAATGTTTCGTCGTTTCTTTTCGGCCATCCAGTGTCTTTTCAACGTTCCAGTTTTCCGGTTTGGAGGCATGAGTAACAGTAATCTGATTAAGAACTGAAACTTTTGGTTGAATCCTTAAATCAAAAGATGTCCAAGCATTTAAAATAACTTTTGATGCATTCAGGCAATGTCATCGCTTCTCTTTAAGATTCCTGGCCCGAGCTCGCCGCTTTTATCACGTAATTTTGGAAGTAGTACTATGTGATTAGTAAATATCAAAAGTGTAAAGAAGTGTTAAAGAAATGCGATGGAGTGAAATGCCTTAAAATTCTTGGAAGTTTTCGTCTTAATTTATTTACTATAGGGTACCGGAATTCACTACGGCAGCCCAAAGAGGACATTCACCATTACTATTAAGTAGCAATCTCGCCTTAACTTCACCTTATTGCTAGATCAGTCATCTTGCGAAATCTGAGATAATGTAAATGTATTGCATCATAGTTATTACACGAAAAAGTAGGACTGTTTGTCCTCCATGGGCCACCGTGCTTTACTTAAAATGTTGGAAAAGTTATCCCACTTAGCACGTTATAGGGTACGGTAACACGAGCAAAAAAAACGTGCAACCTATTTTGCGACTTTGCTGCAAAGCGAGTTCAATAGCGAGGTCAGGGTTGCGCGTTTTACCACCCAGGAAAAAAAGAACCTTGCAACCCTATTTGGCGCAAGACCGGTTCGATCAGGGGTGGTAAAACCCGCAACGTATAGCAGTTTTTCCTGTTCGCTTTTAATTAATATTTGGAAACATTGGGCTGGTCATTAAAAACAGAGTTAATTCGTTGTACGAAACCGTGCCAGAAAAGCCATTGTCAATTTCGCCAACCCTAGTGTCTAAAGTTTGACTACTTTTCACGTGTGTCAAGAAGACATATTGCCCAGACTAAATTAAGCGTAAACGTGTTACTTAGAATTTGTTACTCACTCATCCAGAAAGAGGGACATATAGCGATTGTCGCGGTCTAAGTAGCCTGTTCACACACCCTCTATTTTCTCTTCAAAGTCCGTCGAGCGGGCGTCATAAATAATTAAAACCGCGGGGTTTTCGAAAAGAACGAAAAGAAAAATAAAACAACGTCTGTGTACAGGCTAGGGTCTAAGTGAGACTTTTTTTTAAAATTTCCTTTGCCTGCGATGTTGCGTGGTAATATCTAGTTCCGTTACCAATGAGGACAGTCTATTCAGGAAGGCTGAATAAGAAATAATATGAAACAATAGTCTGGTCGTTTACTCCCTTACACTTATTTACAGTTGCCAAGTTAAAAAAATCAACTAAAAAAATTATAAAAAAAAGTTGGAGATGTGCCTGATTTGTCAAATTAGCATCAGCCATCCGCAAGGCTTAAATTCCGACTTCCCATTCCTCTAGGCCGCGCACAGAGCCGCGCTCGCACTACAGTTTTAATTTTTAATCCACGGCGTATACAAACATTGCACCTGATCTAACATTGATGAAGGGCACGGCACGAAACGTTTGGAAAACAACTCCATATAAAACACGGCACTTTACTTTTTAATGAACGTTTTCTTCGCTTACTTTTCAGTGTCACGCATCTTACCGGAATTTTTACGTTATTTGTTTGAATATAAACAGATAGTATAGGCAAACTGGTTTACTATTTACCTGGAAGGGGATTAGGGGGATCCCTTAGCCTGTTAAATGTCTGAATATCTGTTCGTTTAAAATATTTACCTCGCCTTTCAAAGGCTATTTCCCACGCAACATAATTAAGCTAGCTTTATTGACATGTTTCAGTCGCTTTTCTTAAAGATCAAGAACCGCAAGTTCGCAAAGTCGGTTTTAAGGATGGTTTTCAAGTCACTTGAAACTTTTCTTGAATGGTTTCAACTTTCAGACTTAAATGAGAAAAAAAATTGAGATTTTACTTAGGCCTTCACATACATATCTTTGGTTATAAGTAAAACTTAGCAGCTCTAAGTCTTACTAAACGGCCTAGTGTAAAGACTACTATTATCCCGTTTAATTCTAAGATCAGTAGTTCTTTTACCACAATCTTAATGCAGAAATAAGATCAGAACGGATAAAATTATGTAGTCTGTGTTGGTTTTAAATATAGTATTTATTGCTTTGACGGAGGGAAGAGACGTTCCTTAATCAAGTCGTGGGCGGTTTGTGATTTCGTGGGGAGTCTGTGCATGTTCCCAGGGGCGAGAAATGGAGAAAAGAGGTTGTCGGTGCAAAATTGAAACGTCACAATACCATCTTAACATCTCAATATCATCATTCTTGGCGAGTTTCGTCCGTTTGTCGTGTTAGCGAAAACGTGGTTTATGCAATCAAATCCCGAATGATATTCCTATGCAGAATGGTATTCAGACACCGGACACCAGACCCAGCTGGACTGAATGTGGACTTTAATTTCCTTTGAACCCTTCAAAGCCAAGAGCGCATTTCACGTAACGTCTTTGTTTTGAATTTTATTTGAAAGTTATTTAAACTTACAAATAAATGAAAAAAAAAAATTCACATGAGGCATAACCTGTACCATGAAAGCAAAGAAGTAACTGGGGCTACGGTACGCCTGCCGCACCCTTCGTAAGATGCCCTTATCTTATGCAACCGGTTAGGTGTCTAACACCCTAAGGCGACGCACTGTAATCTTTTATATTACTTCTAGTTCTTATATACGTTCTCTATTTCGTTCGTTGTAAATCGGAACTAAAATCCCGAAAAAATCTTCTTAAACGAAACTCATCCAGTGATACTTCGGACTTTTTATATATATCCATTTTTTTTACACACATAAAAGTGATTCCCGACCAATCCTTCTGCTTGGTCCCCGTATTTTTTGGCTTTCTTAAATGTTGGCTTATTTCTTAGGACCCCTTCAGATACTTCGAAGTGATGAAAAAAAAAAATGGTACATGAAAATACTTTTTGTAGAACACCTTGTAGCAAGCGAGTAACTTAATTAAAAGCTGCGATTGAGCTGCATCGCATAAGCACAGAAAAGTGTCTTGTGGCAATAAAAGCTTTAAAGCTGCAGAACTAAAACTACTAGCAGAGCAATTTCTAACTATGACCAATAAGTGTGGGGAGTGATTACAATTTTCACGAAAAATTAACTCCATTCTCTGAACGTCATAACTTCTAGCAAAAATCACGAAATGTGGCACTTTTGTAACGCGATTGAAACGCTACATAGGGTTATGAAAAATTGACCAAAGAAAAAAAAGGGATTGATACATTACTCTGAAACTCTGAGAGCACAATGCTAAAAGGTGACCGTATACTCTAAAGTTAGTTTCATCTCTTTTTGTTAAATGGTTTGGGAGCAGTGATGTTCGAAAAATGAAATTGTAAAATTATGGCCTTAACTGAAATCCTAAACTTGACTGTACATGAAAGTGTATATGCTTTCAAGTCATTTTTTTGTAATCTTCCCAAAACTGATTTAAAACGTACTGGGGTAAGAAGGGGAACGCACAGGCATTTATTAGTCTCACATCTATCCGCATTGTGGCAAGAAAATTGGAATTTACCCTTTCTTTGTGGTCGTTACCCTGGTGAGTGGCACACATGTACCCTTTTTAAGTTTAAGGAGCTGTTAAAAATAGGCTGATTTTCCAGTGAAAACCAAATTCACTGTGAAGCTTCTGGATGCTTTATTGAAGCCGAAAAAAGGTTTAATTTGGATTTGTAGCTTAAAGAAATTCACTTTTTTAACGGAGACGAAAAGGTTACAAAAGTGGTGCCTTTAGATCTAGAGAGAGAGAGAGAGACAAGGGGCCGAGTAGGAGAGGACCCTGGGAACGAGGTTGCGTCGTTCACTGAAAAATTAACGCAATCTCCTTGAGTTATCATTTAAAATAATTTGCATGTTTAAAAAAACAGAATCTATGTCAGTATTCGATTTTTGCTTCTTTTCGTACTTGAGCGTACTCATGGAAAAATACTGGCTACGCCCATGGAAAGCTTTTTTTGATGCTGTGGACTCCGAGTGACCATGATAGGACAGTAAAAGCCTTCTGTTCCTTTTGATTGTTGCAGTCTTATAGGACTCAAACGTACAAGATGGGTAACCAAACAATCAATCATACAGTCAATTTATTTACATCAATACGTGGGATCGGGCTGCCCCGATCATTCGAGCCAGAGGCTCACGTATGAAACGTATGACAATAAAAATACTAAGTTATTAAAAATACATTACATTTCAACGAAAATGATTTTAAAAGATCAAAGCTACACCTTCCGCATCCCACTGAATTAATCAAAAACCAAAAACCGTAAGAATAAGTTTAGAACCCTAAGAAAATCAATCAATCAATCAGTCTTAGAAAGAGTAAATTGCATTTACAACTGGCTCTTAAGTTTATAAGATTAAAAGACCTAAATGCTTACGAGATTCACTCAACTCAGTCGATTTCTCAATGTAAGAAGGAAGCTGATTCCACAAATACGAAGCTTTGTAAGTGAAAGAATTGTGATAATATCGATTATTATAGGATGCTTGAGTGAGACTGTGATCTCTGTTCCTTAAATTGTAGGGCAGTATATGAGGTTCGAATAAATCAGAAATATAGTCAGCCCTATTTCGTTTTATCAGTTAAAAAGGAGGATAAGAGATTGATAGTATCGTCCATGTTCCAGTGATTGCCTGTTTACAGCGACAATATGACATCATATAATCTAAGCTGTTTCCGAAATTTAAGAGAGCTTTTAAAGCTTAATAGTTTGCAGATTCAAGTTTCTTGTTTTGTTAATCCCTAATGGTAATGGCCTGCAATATTC